GAAATTTTGAAAAAGTATTTTTATTTTAGTATGGTCTATTTAAGCCTGATTCGATTAACATCTCGTGTGTGTATATTTTACTATTGTCTAAATCTAATCTGATTTGTCCTAATCTGTTAAAGTTTGAATAGATCTGTTCTACTTTATTCATGTTTTGTCTGGCCTTTTGCTAAATCAGTTCAATTAAAAATATTCTAAACGCCTTTCATATTTGAACAAATACATACTCCCTCCGTCCCGTAAAGATGTTCCCGGTTTGACCTACACACATATTTAGGAAATAAATTTGACTTTACTGTTTAGACACTGTTTGGCACTGTTTAGACACGGTTTGACACTGTTTGACACTGTTTTGATGTAGGATAACTTTCCATTTAGGGAAAGGGGAACTTCTTTTTGGGACATCCAAAAAAGGAAAGCGGGAACATCTTTGCGGGACGGAGGGAGTACACACACATATATGGGCTTAATGTGAAATCAACATGGTGGAGGACCTTTAATAAGTCAAAGAAAAATAAAAGTTGAAAACAACTAGTTTACTAGTACTATATTCAAGATTTACTTATTCAAAGAAATAACTACATTTGGAAATTCGCACAAAATAAAAAACATTAATGTTTTTTTTTCTATTGAATGTATCAACCAATAAAATTTGCACGGCTTTTTCTATAGCGTTTAAACCGTTCAATTCAATGAAGAAGTATAAACTAATTTTATAATTTATAGAACAAAAGTATATATATTCAAAATTATGTGACATATTTACCACATGTGCAAAATTGAAGAATATTATCTTTAAGATAATATTGATATTAATTAGGTATTGTGTTTGATGATCATAAGAACCTTTTTAAAATACAATTTTATTTTACACCATTGATTATGTATATAAGTATATAACACAAAAGTCATTATTTATAATAATTGTTGAATGATAAGTAGGATTTTTTTTTTGGAATTTCATGGAGTCGTGGGATCCTGTGAGACACAACGTGAGTCCGTCACTGGTCACTATGTAAGATGGAAAAGTGACTTGACCTTATGTACTATTTTTCATGTATATAATTTAATATATCGTCTTATGATGTAAGAATAAAAAACTAATGGGAAAACTATCAAATAAGCCCCCTACTTTTAAAAAAAATCAATTGAGCCCCCCAACTAAAAAACAATCAATTAGACACCTCAACTATTAAAAACGAAGCAAATTGTCTTTTAAACAAGTTATTAAAACGGTTCCCGGTTAAAAGGCATTTGAGACCTCTGGCGTGGCATTCTTTTCCAATTCTCTTGTTTTCCCCTTCCTCCTCATTACGGTTCCATTTCTTTCTGTCGGTCGTCGTTAGTCGTTAGCTTCCTCGGTTCCTCCGTCTTCCGTTCCATTTCTTTCTTTTTCCCTCTTGAACGTTCTTTCTTTCCTCCCTTGATTTCAGTAGCATGGAGGCTTGTGTAGCAGAGAAGACGAACTCAATTTACAATTGGGGATTTGGTTTAAGCTAGGGTTTGTCATAGCAGGTATTGGGGGTGAGAAATTTAAGGGATCGTGAATCTGGTAGAGAGCACAATAGGCATTCCATTTGATGGTGTTAAAATTGCACTTCATCGTCTTCTACGGAATCGGAAATCTGAAGAGTGTTCAATTGTTCAAAAATAAAGCTCAAACCACCATTAATGGCGGTCGAGTTTCCTGGGAAAAAACAGTGAGATTGCAATCTCTGTGGAAGCTCCAGATTGTTGAATTAATAGGAATAATAGCTATCACACGTCATCCAATTATCCAAATGCAAAAAAGACCATCCAGTCTGGTGGAAAGAAGATTGTGAGACCCATGCTGGCGGCTGTGGTTGCGTTAAAGATGAATGGAACAAACGAAATGAGAGAGGAAGAAGGAAGAAAAAGAAAAATAGGAAAAGAAAAGAAAATATTACATATGTGGTGCCAGGTGGCGCCACGTGTCGCTACGTGTGAAATTTTACTTAGACCGGTTGCATACCTCACAAAGACCTTATTTGAACGTGTTTTCTAAGTTGAGGTGTTTAATTGATTGTTTTTTTAGTTCGGGGGTTTAATTGATTTTTTTAGAAGTAGGGGGGCTTATTTGATAGTTTTCCCAAAACTAATGGTCGTGTTAGTGACTTGTGAGTTATGAGACATAAAACAGTAAATTTACATTTGGATAGTGATAAAAGTGGACTTGTAAGCAACTTAAAAAGTTACTAATACACACATTATTTTATGATGTGTGATGAAAACATATGAAATGAAAAGCATGATTAAGTGCAACTCTTAATATAAAAAACATGGGATTGGTAGAGGTTTTTGGTTGGGATTCACTAAAATTTATAGAGGAATTAGCAAAAATATGCCAAATTCGTGCCAAAAACACATTAGCACGAGCTATTTGACACAAAATCATCATTAAATCCACGCCAATCTGTCCCAATACTATAATTTTTTTGGTAGTATATGCATAACTACGTATTTGAATGATACATAAAGCAATAGATCACATAAAATAATACACAACTAATTACAAGGTAGTGAGAATGATGGAGATGTGTAATCAGTAGGGTTGTAAACGAATCAAATCAAGTCGAATAATGAGATTTTGTATTTGTATTTGTTTAATTTTTTTCGAATACAAATTCGAATTCAAATATGAAACGAATATTAATTTCGATTTGTATTTGTATTTGTTACCAATACGAATAGTTAACGAATCATATACGAATATCGAATCGATTTGAGGATAAGTTAAATATTAGTCAAATATCACTTTAAAATAATTTTTCTTATACTCCGTATTGTTTGTGTTGTAAATGCATGCTATGACTTAATATGTGTTTTTAGAATTTAAATTTAATGGATCAATGCATTTTTAATTTAGATGGTGCACAATATACTAAAGTGAATTAATTTTATGATAAATAAATATAAATCTATTTCAAACTTTTTGAAATAAACACTAACACACACATTAGAAAGTATATTGTAATGTGTGAAATAAGTTGATAATTATATATACCAAAGTCAAACTACTCTAACTTTATTCTTCAAATCGAATACACAATTATTTGTATTGTATTTGAAAGACATTTGAACCAAAAAATTGACTTTTATTCGTATTTAGATTCTGGTTTACTACAAATGGGCTTGGAATCTGTATGCAAAAGTGTATATATGAGCTACACTTTGAGGATATTGATATCTTTTAAAAGTTATTATAGTGTTATTACTATTATTATTAGAAATGACAGGGAATTAGAAAAGTCTCATTGGTCCATACACATACATCATCATTATACTTCAATGAAGAGTCTCATTGGACTACGAGTTCAACCCCTATTGACTCATTGTCCCTTTCCCTTTCCTTTCACCATTCTTGCATCACTCTCTCGCATGCATTGAATTAAAAATTGAATTAAAAAGTGACACCTTCCTATAAGTCAAGGGGCCAGCCAAATCCTACATTAAATGTCCTTCCCGCTAAAAAGGTGTGGTTGACTCGGTTAATTTATTTAACCTTTGCTTATTCAGATACAAAAAAGGATCACACGTTATCCCTAAGGGTACTCAGTACCGGCCGGACAGTTAGATGAGAGGATGTAAATTGGACTTTAATTATAAGGTGACATATAATGAGTGGGGCTATGACTATGACTCAGATACTCGCAGAAACCTTATAAACTTTTAGATAGTAATATCTCATCGTATCTGTCGAGATTTGAACTTGAGAGTTACCTCTTGTGACACCCTATCTATCAGTTGAGCTGCCCACCAACTCATTCAGATAAAGATACTTGCCCGTGGTGTTTTACCCGTGTTCACACAGCTTTGTTATATGGAGCAATCTCATGTCTATCGTTCAAACTTCAAATAGCCTTGAAAATTTGGACTTGACCAAAATTGTTGTGCCAATATCTAACGAATACGGATTACGGAGCATATTAATTTAATACAACTTACAAAGTTGATATAAAATAAAATTTCAAGGCCATCTACCTCTAAACGACTTTTGTGTGTGTGATATAAACGACTTTTAAAATAAAAATGTCAATATTGCTCTTACCTCTTTAAACCGGAAATCACGTATCGTAGTTATTAGGGGTGGACAAACGAGTAGTGGAACTGCGGGTCCGTCCGAGTAATACAGATTCGGGGCGGATTAGGGTCGGATCCTAATTTTAGAAAACGCAAACGATTCGGGGTGGGGCGGGTCCTGAAAAACTTAGGAACCTAACGGGTTTTAAAATTTGAAAAAACGGGTACCCGAACCGAACCGTTTTTAAATATTATTTTAATAATCTCTTATCTCTATTATATTTAATACTAGTATAATATAAAATACTATCAACACACGAAAGCTCTTCATGTTCTTGTGTCTAGACAAAGACTTCCAATTAAAGAAACTTCTCAGTCTAATAAAAATAGTTTCCAAGTCCGTATAATTAAACTACTAAAATATTTTCTTCTATTCTCTATTCCAATGCATCAAACTTTCTTTCTTTAATATTTTTTGTAAACAAAGACTCTTACTCAATGAAGTATGACATATACATTTAATTATCTTAATTTTACTTATACTTGGAGATTTAATAAGTTTTAAATTGTTTTCATAGACATATATGTATAGTAACTGGTTTAATTTCTTATGAATTTATGGTGATATCTTTTTAATTGGTTTATGAATGATGATTAACATTTTAATTAAGGTGGTTGTGTGTTGTTTAATTTATGGTTCGGTATTTTGTTAACTAATTTAAAATGTTGTCCTGTACTTTTATTTTGGATTTTTATTATATTATGGTTACATTAATACGTAATTAATTGAGAATTTTATAATTTACTAGAAATTTTGCTTGCATGGCGTATTTTTTCTTTACAAAAAAAGAATCGAGAGTCGGACCGAAATGATACATTTTAACATGACGGGTAAGGTTCGATTCCTATTTCGAAATTTGATATATCCAAAATATTTCGAACCTATCCTATAAATAGAACAGACAATTCTGAAAAAATACCCGAACAGATGGACATTCTGATTGTACTATAAATTCACAAAAGCTTAGAAATGTGGTAAGAAAAAGTCCAATTCAATAAGAATCTGGAACTAGTCTGAACTTATTTGCTCCGATTGCTATTCCTGATTCCTGACTCCACGATCTAGTCTCCGTCATCTTCCTTTCGCATATTTCTCAACACCGAATCATTTTCGGTAATTCCCCCCCCTCCTTTTTGTTGTTTCCTTTCGGAACAATATTAAATTAATCTTCTGACTCTCGAAGTTCGCTTGAAATACCGTCTACGTCGCTGATATCAATTGCCTCGCTTTGCTGGATTGTAAATCGTAAAAGAAATACTGGATCTTGATTCTATTTTTATCTTTTGGAATTCTCGATCCTCTGAAAAAAGAGATCGGATTCCAAGCAGAATATTGCAAATATTTTATTCTGGAAAGACTGAGGAACTTGAATCTACCACGTTCTCCTTCAAATCTTCACGGGTTTTGAAATAATATTGTGATAATTATAAAATCAAGCTATATTTGCCGATAGGCACTAACTCTTTGTGTGTTAAAGTTTATAACTTTTTTTTTATATTATAATTTGTGTAGTGTGTATTTTATTTCTTTGATTTTTTTACAAGTAGAAAAAAATGGCTGAACAAAAGAAGCAGGCTAGTTTTACCAAGGTCGAACAGCTTCTCCCCTCGAAAACTGGGCTGAACTTAACTGTGAAGGTTGTGAGTTCAAAGCTGATTTCCCAGAGAGGCAGGACGCAGAGTCGTGTTGCTGAGTGTTTGGTGGGAGATGAGACTGGAATGGTTGTCTTCCTTGCTAGAAATGATCAAGGTTCGTCATAATTTGAATTGCATCTAAATTCTTTGCTTACCATAATTGATTGAGGTCAGGTGTATGCAGAGCAGTTTTATAGTGCTTTGTACTTTACACTGCTAGTCCCATTCTCTTGATGTTTATTGTCTGGCTTTGTCTAGTCCAATCTGAATAAGTATATGCTACAGAAATCCTTTTTAGCCTCAGTCCAATCTTGAGTGCAATCAGCATATACTCTCAGACAATTCATTAGCCTACAGAAATCCTTTTTAGCCTGCAGCCTTTCCAAAGTCAAAGGGGCATTATATATAGTGCCTGTTTGGTAAATATAATCTTGGCTCAAATGGTGAATATGATGACATTGTATCTAAAAAAGTAAGAGTGTTTAAACTATCAACTATGTTTGTATGATTTAATAATATAATACTTAAAATATGATCATAGAGGTTGTTGGAGATTCAGGTAGACAAGATGAATGTCTGGAAAGAGGTTATGAATTGAGCTGCTGCTCTCTCTATTTCTACTGAAAAGTTATTAATCATAAGCTTACCTCAAACATTTGACTGCCTTCCCTTTTATAGGGTTCATATAAAAATGGGAAAACTGTCAAACAAGTCCATCTCCTTTTACCAAAAAGTCATTTGAGTCCACACACTTTAAAATGAATCAATCAAGTCCACAAACGGTTAAAAAATGACCAAATTAGCTATTTAGCCAGTTGAATGGAGGTAATGCAGGTTATAGCTCACTTGAACGGCCACGTGGCGATAATTTTTAATTTTTTCTTTTCTTTTTCTTTTTTCCTTTCCTTTTTCTTTCCCTGTTAACTTCTTCTTCCCCTGGGTTTGCATCCGACCGGCAGTTCTTCTTTTCTTCCTTAAATTCTTTTTTTTCATCCATTCTTTTCAGTTCTCTTTCTTTCCGTAGAAGGGTACCAATTGCCGTCAATCGTAGCACACAGCTTCCACGATTTTTGTTCTGCAGTAGCCGGCGCCCAAAACTTCCCCATCTGCCGCCCATCACCAACCGCCCACAACTTCTCTGGCCTCCACCGCCTGTCGCCCACAACTACAGCTCGATCTGCGTCACCGACTGCCCTTTGTCCTCAAATTCCCCAACCACCACTACCCATCGCCCTCATCTTCCTCAACCCGCCAACAGTCTCCAACCGCCGTCCGTCTCCCACATCATCCCCAACTGTCATCATCTTCCGGCCGTCTCCCTCATCTTTGTCAACCTCCGCCGCCCACTGCCTTTCAAAAAGAAAGAGAGTCTGGATTCGGGAAGAATCGAATTGCAGGAGTAGTTTGTGTTGAAGCAGGAGAAGAAAATGAACGAGTGAAGAAGAAAGAGAGCATGAAAAAGAAAAAGGAAAGAAAATAAAAAATAAAAAATATGAACAGTAAAAGAGTCAATTAGACTTCCACGTAAGTGTGAAAAGAGTTACCGGTTGGTTACTGACTAAATAGCCAATTTGACCAATTTTTAACAGTTTGTGAACTTGATTGGTTCATTTCAAAGTGCATGACCTTAATTGACTTTTTGGTGAAAGTAGATGGACTTATTGGACAGTTTTCCCTATAAAAATCTAGAGATTCTTCTTGGAACCAGAAGGGTAAAAAACACTTGATAAATTCAGGATATATTAAATTAAATTAAATTAAATACAACTAGACTCTTTGAATCCTTAGAATATTCTTGAACTCCTAGCATTTTCCAAACATGCTACTTGCTGAAGTTTCAAATTATATCTCAACTCCCCTTTAATTTGTAATGTTCAGCTGCCCCTCAATCTTCTCAAACTTGTCTGTTGAAATGGGCTTAGTATGCATGTCTGCTGGCTGGTCATTTGTGTTTATAAATTGCAATTGAATCATTCCTTTCTTGACCAAGTCATGAATAAAATGGTAGCAGATATCAATGTGCTTTGTATTTGCATGAAGTACGAGATTCTTCGCAAGGGCTATAGCTTACATAATATCACAAAAAATAGTTATAGAACCATTATTCCCTTGAATCAAATCTGCCAGCATTTTCAACCAAACTGCTTCACAAGCTTATTCTGTAGATGAAAGTGCTACAGTTTGTTGCTTTCTTGAACTCCATGAAACGGACTTTGAATCTAAGCAGAAAACATAGACTGAATTGCTCTTTTTTATCATCCAGTGTACCTGCCTAGTCACTATCAGTATAGCCTACTCAAGGTTGTTAAAATCGTATTTTTAGATCGAATCGGAATGAGTATTTAACAATCGAATGGAAAAGCAGAATCGTAAATCGTAAGATTCTAATAAATAATTAAATTAAAATTATAAAAATATTATATAAAAGGAAACTTACAATTTAATATAAATAATTTAAAAGGAGACTTACAAGTTTAAGTCTTTAATTTAAACCATTATGTCGTATATGTTTTAAGCCTAACAATGATGTGTTCATTAAAGTGCACAAAATAAATAGCAACAAAATAAAATTATGTAATCAAATAATAAAAGTCATTCAACAAATAAAATACAATGTTACAAAGAAATTTCCCAATAAATATATGAAGGTAATGAGTATTTAAGCATTAGTCTGAAAATATGAGTATGTTTTTCTAAAGCAAAATATTGTTTCTTCTCTGATTTGCAACTATCCCACACCAGAAAACCTAAACCAATATCCCCTCCCCATCCAGTATATAACCCGTGTGTGTATTCAGAGTAGGAGGCTGGTAAATACTTAGTTACTAGGCCTGAGTCAGCGGCCTGAGTGATATGGGCTGTGTTTGGTTTGAGCTAAACACAAATTCTTAAAATCATAGAGTCTGATAATATCGAGATTTTGAACGATTTTATCCTATTTAAATATGATTTTATACAATTTTTATTGTTTCCGATTTTTGCTACGATTCAAATAGGTTATAGGAAGTTGGATGCACGATTTTACGATTTAACTTGCGATTTTAATAACCTTTAGCCTACTAGCGAATGATCCTCCTCCTTAGCATACTTGATACCATGTGACTGGGTGCCTTGGAGATATCTAAGTACTCATTTTGCTTCTCCAAAATGATGCTTACTAGGATTGTTCAAGAACCTAGACACCATACTTACCGCTTGGGTTAAGTCTGGCCTTGTATTAGTCAGGTACAGTAGCGAGGCAACAAGACTTCACTACATGCTTTCATCAAACTTTAGTTGCACCATCTTCTTGCTTCAGCTTCTCATTTACTGCCATAGGTATAACAGCTAGTTTGCAGTCCTTCATGTGGAACCTTTTCATCATCTTTCTCTTTAGGTTTGCTTGACTTGAATTCCCAGAAAAGTGCCGTCTACACCAATGTTGAGGCAATTTTATTTTGACATATCATTTAAATGTGTTTGTTTAACAAAGCACATTAAAAAAATACGACATCAAATAAATTGAAACAAACTACATACAAAATGCACCATATATTATGACTGAAGAAAACAATTCTTTAAATGCAAATATCTTAAACTAATAACCTACGCTTCCTGTTTTTTGAAGAGAAAAATTAGTATGAACATCACTACCGTTCCAACTAAATATTTTTTCAAACTTTTAAGACATTCATAAAAGAAAAGTAATTACTATAATCAGTTGTTTTTTTGGCTATTACAGAGTTGATATAAGCAAAAACATTCTCAAATTAAAACATTTCAGCAAACTCTGATCCTGCCTAGAACAATTACTCAGCCACGTGCCCACGTATAAGAGAATATCATGAGTTCACAGCACATAAGCTAGGCAAAAAGATTAGAACCCTACTAGACTGAAAAACTGAAATAGAATAGAATTAAATAAAAAAAGGCTCCTTAAAGTCAATGTGCCTAAATATAAAACACATGAAAAAGATAACAATAATTCTTGGTTGAAAAAACACATTACTAAAAAGTAAAAACGCTACAACATTATATATAGTTTACTTTTTACACACCTAAATGAATAAATCAATACCCCAAAGAAGACAGAAGACCTGATTACCTGAAGGCTAAAGTTGGCAAGTCCCCTGCTGCCCTACTTGTCTGTTAGCCTGCATGCCTTCATTGAAGACAGAAGGCTTGAAATCACTTGCTCTCATTCTACGCCTGGGTCTACGCTGAAGTCTTGAAGATTGAAGAAGAAGCCTACAAGCCTGGTAGACTAGTAACCTGGCCGTGTGGTCTCAGCCTTTTATGGATTCATCAATTGATTTCATGATTTACTAATTTAGGAATTGAAATTTACCGTGTAGGAAAACATTGATTCTAATTACGATTTGAATTTAATATACCTATATAATATAAATGGGCTTATTTTAAAATTTGGAGCTCCTATAATTTGGAGGCTCTAGACACTTGTGTAGGTATATAGCCTAATGGATGGCTCTGCTCAAAAAATACTTTGTAAGTCCCATTTGCTTCACAAAGAGTGAGGGCTTACCTGGGCTTCTTGTGAAGTCATATTGCCGAAAATAGCTATTGATCTTATTGTTCGGTGCTCTTGGAGATTATTTTAGGGAATTTAGGCTTTTAGACCATAAAGAGATTAATGAAGCATGTAGTGTGTACATCTTCTCTTCTTTTCCTTTTACTTCATATTCTTGTGGTTGCTTCACATATACTTCTTCTTCTAGCTCTCTGTTAAGAAAAGCTCATTCCACATCAAGCTGAAATATTTGTAACTCTAGCTGCCAAAGCCAACACCAATCTAAATGCAAGCAACCGGGGCAAACTTCTCATTAAAACCAACTCCAAGTTGTTGTGTGAAGCTGTTGGCAACTTGTCTTGCTTTGAGCTTTTGAATAGTTCCATCTTCATTGTGCTTTGTCTTGTATTCCCATTTTAAACCAATCACCTGATTTACCACTTTGCCTCCTGAAAGATCCATCAAGTGCCACGTTCTATTTTTCTCTATCATGACAATTTCATCATCCATTGCCTTCCTCCAAGTGACTTCTTTTTGCAGCTCCATCCTGCATATGTGGTTCACTTGTAAAATAACAAATTCACATATTTCACAGGTTTGTGCTGCACAAGACGTATCTCATTACACAAGGGTACTTTTGGAACCTGGAAAATACTAGGGAAAGAAACAGGAAGTTATTGCATTAAATTTGAAAAAAGAAAATGTCAGGGGAAATAGAAGAGAAAAGTCAATAAACTTGTTTTAGATAACTATTTACTACTCCCTCCGTCCCGGGTAAGGGTTCCCGTTCAGGTTACGATGTTTCACTAAATAAAGTTAATTGGTCCTTGACAATATTAAAATCATTTTAGCAAATAAAATTTACATTCAGAAACTATATTAAAAATTTTATAGTCACAAAAAACTCACATTTAATAAAAATTGGATGTATAAAGTAAAAGATTAAGAGCAATTTAAGTTGACCGCAAAATAGTGGATGAGAACCTTAACCTGGTATGGAGGTAGTATAGTTCTATTTGTTTATGTCTATCACTAATGCTAAAGCCACCCCAGTTTGTACCCCATTTTGTACCCCTCCTATGTTTGTGGTTCACAAAAGCAATGAGTAAAAATGGAGCAAGTATTTTAATTGGGTTGGATTTTTGTGAGCCACAAATATAGGATGAGGTACAAAATGGGGTAGAAAATGGGGTACCTCTAGCATTTCTCTATGTCTATTATATGAAGACTAAGAAATCCAAATATACAACAACATCCAAGCCTTAATCCCAACAAAGTTTGGAGCAATCAGCTAACATGAATTTACATATGACAGCGGAGTTAAAAATAATAATAATAATAATAATAATAATAAGGAAAAATTGATAAGAATAATCTCACTTTTCACTGGTCTTCTCATAATAATCTCACCTTTACTTAATCCCACAATAATCCCACCTCCACAATAATTCCACCTTTGCACCCCATCTTCTTTCACTGGACCCTTCATTTGTAAATCTTATATAAATAATCCCACCTTTGTAGGTCATCAATAGGTCAGGGTCCAATGAAAGAAGATGAAGTGCAAAGGTGAGATTATTCTTGGATTACGTAAAGGTGGAATTATTATGAGAAGACCGGTGAAAGGTGGGATTATTCTTGTCAATTTTTCCTAATATAATAATAAGTAGAGATAAAGGGAGACAAACTAAATCAAATCAATCCTCCACCTGTATACTTTCCCTCCACTTCACACTCTTCAAAGTAAGAAATTCAAATATAAACAAGGCAGCCCGGTGCACAAAGATCTCCCCGAAAGGCGAGGGTGTATAAGAGGCAAGCATTCCTTGCTAAGTTTTGATAAGAGGACGCTCCCAAAACTTGAACTTGTGACCACTGTCACACAACAACACTGTAAACGTGTCAAGGCTCCCCTTCGTAGAAGTTAAAATATATGTAAACAATAGTCATGCTTTTCTTTTCCCGGTTTGTGTTTTCCAAGGTAAAAAAACACAAGAAAACATCTTTTCCTAGCATTTTCTCTTTTCCCACGTTTTCCGTGATCCAAACATATTACAGAAGTAAGAAGAAAAGAGAACACACAATGTGGATATGGTTGGGGCTTGTTATCATATTGTTGTGCCACATGTTTTTTTTCCTGTATGCCCATATAATATTATTGTTTTCAGATAATTGATTTTGTTACTCCTATGCTTCCATGGGATCTGTTTTGTGCAATATGTCATTGTTAAGCGATGGTTTTACACTTTTGTCCTTGTTGTAGTGGACTTGATGCAAGAGGGTACAACCGTGGTGCTCACGAATGCAAGAGTTGACATGTACAAGGGATCTATGAGGCTCATGGTGGATCGCTATGGCCGTGCTGAAGTGACTGATGCTGCAAGTTTTTCTGTGCAGAAAGATAATAATTTATCCTTGATTGAATTTGAACGGGTGCAAGTTGGTGTCTGACCCCGCCCTTGATTGTGTTGAAAACATCAACAGAGACAAACAGACGTTTAATGTTTTTACATGGGTACATTAGTACTAAATTTATTGTTGCACGTTTGAAACTCATTTAAGCTCCTGTAGAAATTTGATATTGTGTTATGAAGCTTCTTCAAAAATATTTTGGAAGTAAGATGAAATGACTAATGAGTAGAGTCGAGTGCTCTTTGTTTGAGTTTCGTATTTGAATATATTTTACTCCCTACCTTTTGTTTAATCATTGCATATTTGCATAGTTTTGTACAATTGTACTCCGTATATTCTTAAATTACATTAAAAGATGACAATTTTTTGCACTACGTAACACATATTCCTAATTTTAAAAATGAAGTCATAGTATGGGAACCGATAATATGAAATACTTATTCCCACCGTTTTTGTTGCTAATTTCAGTGGTAAGTGTCACTGGCTCTGCTGTAGGAAAAAATCCACACCCTTGCAGCCTTGCTGTATTAGAATCCTAAGATGAGCAAATGGTATTAAGGTTTAGTGTTAGAGTTGAGGTTAATCACACAAAGCAAATGGTAGATAATTAATTGGATAGTCCAAGATGCATGCACAATAATTAAAGTATGACCCAACCTAGCTAGTAGCTAGCTAACTAATAAAGCGCTCCATCCATCATGCATGCTGCTTGACATTCCAACAATCTGCAATCTGCATTGCGCACGTATATAACAGCCCAACTAATATCATATCATATCCATCCATCAATGACCAGCGCGGCCATGCATAAAGCAGCAAATATATTACTTATGAATTAAGCAGAAATGATTGATTTTATGACGTTAGAGTCATCATCATCATCATCATCGTCAATATTATTGCTGTTGTTCTCGTCTGTATTACCCCTGCTGCTAGTATGCAAACTGGTTGTGGAGGTGTTGGTAGTAAAAAGCAATAATGCAAAGCGGCTTCCTCCGGGGCCACGAAGGTGGCCCATAGTCGGTAACCTTCTTCAGCTGGGACGACTGCCTCACCGCGACTTGGCTTCCTTTTGCGACAAGTACGGGCCGTTGGTGTACCTACGGCTGGGGTGTGTGGACGCGATCACAACCAATGATCCCGACACCATACGCGAAATACTGGTGCAACAAGATGAGGTGTTCGCGTCCCGGCCGAGAACGCTGGCAGCCGTCCATTTGGCTTACGGATGTGGCGATATCGCGCTTGCCCCCCTGGGCCCCGACTGGAAGTGGATGCGGCGGGTTTGCATGGAGCACTTGCTGACGACAAAGCGGCTGGAGTCCTTCGCGGTGCACCGTGCCAAGGAAGCGCGCCACCTGGTGCAGCAGGTGTGGAGAATGACGGCGACCCAGGGTGGCACGGTGAATCTGAGGGAGGTGCTGGGGGCTTTCTCTATGAACAATGTGACGAGGATGCTGCTGGGAAAGCAGTTCTTTGGCGAGCAGCAGCAGTCAGCAAGCTGCAGTGGGGGTGAAGCGATGGAGTTCATGTCCCTCACTCATCAGCTCTTCCATCTGTTGGGCGTGATCTACCTGGGAGACTATCTCCCAGTGTGGAGATGGATTGACCCGTACGGGTGCGAAAAGAAAATGCGGGAGCTTGAGGGCAGGATCGATGCATTCCACATCAAAATCCTACAAGAGCACAAAAAGAACAAGAGAGTTGATCCCATGGATTTTGTTGATGTTTTGCTGTCCTTGCCTGGTCAAAACGGGAAACCCCACATGGACGACGTCCAAATTAAAGCTCTGATTCAAGTAAGTAATTTAATTAATTAACACCCATCCACTGCATGTATTGAAGTAATTAAGTAATCAAAACACTTGCATACACATACATTATTAATGGGTGGGTGCACGTTGAATTTGTTGTAGGATATGATAGCTGCAGCGACGGACACATCAGCAGTCACGAACGAATGGGCAATGGCAGAGGTGATAAAGCGGCCGCGCATCCTGAAGAAGATTCAAGAGGAGCTGGACAGCGTGGTGGGTCAGGACCGAATGGTGTCAGAGAGCGACCTGCCCCACCTGCCTTACCTGCGTTCTGTGGTGCGAGAGACATTCCGGACCCACCCGGCCGGCCCCTTTCTGATCCCTCACGAGTCGACGCGCGCCACCACCATCAATGGATACCACATCCCCGCCGGGACGCGCGTCTTCATCAACACTCACGGCCTGGGGCGAAACCCTGCAGTGTGGGGCGGCGACGTGGATGAGTTTAGGCCAGAGAGGCATCTGGCGGAGGCGGTGGGGAGAGTGGAGATAAGCCACGGGGCAGACTTCAAGATCCTGCCATTCAGCGCGGGGAAGAGGAGGTGCCCGGGTGCACCCCTAGGTGTGACGCTGGTCCTCATGGCTCTAGCCAGGCTATTCCACTGCTTCAATTGGAGCCCACTGCATGGAAAAGATATCGAAACAACAGAGGTTTATGGAATGACTATGCCTATGGCTCACCCCTTGATTGTTCTTGCCACGCCCCGCCTCGCCTCCTCCACTATACTTTCTAACAACAAATGATCCATCCATCCATCATCCCCGCCCTGCATTCATTAACTGTATAAATAGTACATATGTGCGTTTAACCAAGTGCAGCTAATTCAATAAGCTAGCTGCTTCATATGCATGCCGCATGCGATCCCGCCAACAGCTGAGTATACAAAAATACTACGTATGATAGATTTAGATGTCTAACGTGTTCAATATATATATATATATATATATATATATATATATATATATATATATGTTTGTGTGTGCGCGCCTACTGATCTATGTTTTGTACAAGTACTATTAAGTGGACGTACATATACATCAATATATATTGCTTGCTATTTTTGCTATAAATTCAAGCATTACCAATACAAATAGTAATTCGACCACTTATAGTGAGTGGTAAAGGAATTAGGAATCCAAAGTGTCTTAAATGGACATTTGGACTGCTAATGTTGATTCATTGCATTGGGGACATGTCTTACCTGCCAGACATGGGGGGAATGTCTTTTCTTAAGTGTTCTAACTTTTCCTGGTAAAAAGAAGTGTTCTAACTTTTCCCCAAATAAAAAACATATCAAAATTCTAAAGAGTGAATTCCCCAAATAAAAAACATGTCAAAATTCTAAAGAGTGAATTCCCCAAATAGAAGCAAAACATAGGCAAAATGCAAAATACCAGTACCATACTACCATGTTTTCAATAGTAATTTTAGTGTTCGGACAAATGTACCCCTACCCAAGTCCCAGCTCCCAGCCACCTTCCCCAGCCCTGCAGCCACTACCGCCAGCCTCCAGCCACCATCACCGGCCCACTGTCATCGGCCTCCGGCCACTCACCGGCTGGCAAATTTAGGGTATATGTTTTTGATGGAGTATATTCCCATACACCCAAGAGTCACAACAATACATGAAAGAAACTTCGTAATTGACTAAGGCAACATCAACCGACCGAGGCCAAGCACACCAGTAAAGTCGAAGGTGAGGTATGAAAGAATCAAGAACTGCATCTGAGGCCAAGCTCGCAACCAAAGCCAAGGCCGAGGTCGAGTCCGGCTCTCAAATTGACTAAAGAGTTCCAAAACTGCACCCGAGACCAAGCTCGCAACCGAGTTCCCGGATGAGCAAGGCAACTCCAAAACTGCGTCCGATGGCGAGCTCGTTAGACCTTAGCTGAGCTTTACCTGAGTTGAGCTTTTTTATACCTGAGCCGAGCTTTATCATGCTTGAGCTAGGCTTTACCTGAGCTGAGCTTCATCATCCCTGAGCTGAACATCGTTACATTTGAGCTGAGCACCCCGCTCTCTAGGACAAGTAGAGCCGAGCTTGGCACACTACACACATGTCTGTACTTGGACATTTTCGACATAAACACTTCAGACAGATCAACGATAACGTATCAGGGAATAACTAATTAACTCTGACTGACGTCATCAAACCAGTTGTCCGGTGTGGCCATCCAGATATTCCCTTACGAAAGAGCAGTCATCCTTACACACGCAATCAATCAACGATTCTCTCACCAATCAGCCTATACACGAGGCTTACTTTTATCAGACTAGCTATTTTACTTGTTCATCAAGCATAAGATAATTTACACTATAAGAAATCACCTTCCAGCTTGTGTAAAGAGATCCGCAATTTGATTTATAACATACCGTTACTCTGCCATAATTATTACTCAAGTTTATACTTTCTCTCTCTAGATTCTTACTACCCGGTCCCGAAGGACCCATCATATAGATATTTTTGAAATCAGATCTATTTTAATATTAAAGCGAAGGGGTGACGAAAATGATCTCATCATTGACTCAGAGAGTTTTGACAAGTACATGTACATCTACCTTAAGGGGCCAGCAAGCGACTAGTCTGATTAGTTAGACAGAGCTTTTCCCATGTTAATGGTTCTTTCTCACATATTGAACCTCACAAGTTCCTCTCGTGAGGTTCAAGCCAGGGAAACCCAAGGAAATCAAATACTTCTTTTTCCGTCTCGAACTTCAAGCTTGCTCCTTTCATCCCCCCCCCCTGCATATATAAAACAGGCATGCATGGGTAATGGGTTAACAGAATCTGAGAAAATATATACAGATGCCGACCAGTTGATGGTAAACAAGCAACCATACCCGCTTCCCTCGGGAACTCTGAGTAGCAGCCAGAAACAACCCTGTATCATCCTGTCGAGACCCCTTCGATTCTGCCAATAATCTAAGGTGCATGAGCTGTGCAACAAATGAATGGTGGGTTGAGAGATATAACCACAAAATTTTGTGTGTTTTTGATTCAAGAACTGGAGACATGTTCATGATTATTTTGACGAGGGGTGCTATTTCGAATTCTCGCAGAGTATTAGTATCATAAAAAAAGGATCTCATATAACACGAAATTGGCCAAATTTTTAAATATATCCACATCCTTAACTTTTATTAGTATAGTTTGTTATTTTTATGCTTTTGCTTATGAAATATCTCCATATGACACATGTCGCAGTTGATATAGGCCTACCTATTATTACTATAGTGGGCCAACCTAAACAAAGCATGCTCACCACAGTCAAATGTGCATGGTCATGTCTGCATAGTCAAATAAGCATATCCGGGTAACTAATATTTCAACGTTAGCTAAATAATGATATATTAGTTGCGTCAGCCTAACCATGTCACTAAAAGACATGACGTCGGGATACCAACTTAGCTGAACCATGTCACATGTGTCTAATGTGGAAAAATGTGTATGAGACAGAAGAGTAAAGATAATGATTGGATATATTTAACAGTTTGACCAAAGTTCACCATATTTAAGATCATTTTTTATCCTAAAGTTACACATATGAATGCTTGGATAGAAACATATTTTGCCTGGGGTAAGAACCAGGCAAGAATTCTTTCCAAAAAATGTTTCTAAAGCGGTAGCATTATGTAGTTATATAAGAACCCAACCATTTGGATAGAATTCTTACCCCAGGCAAAATCTCTAATCCAGCCGTCTTCAAAAGTTGCTCCATCTCTTCAACCTACTCCAATCAGACCACTATAAAAATGTTTCAAGTTATCAACGAATATGTTGAAAGTTCACGAGAAACTAACCTCATGCCGTGGGATCCTCACTTTGATGTCATGAAAGTATTTTAAACCTAATCTTTGGGCATTTGTCAAGGATTCCTCATTTTTTAGGACATCTAGAGTTCGGTTCCCCTTTTCATAAAGTTTTAGTGCAGTGGCTGGACCAATGCCCCATACTTCTCCAAATAGAGTGATTGTTCGAACCTGGGGAAATTCTAGCAACATCAGTTCTGGTATAACCATATGAGTTTGAAGGTGGCCTATAATTCTAACTTTCAGAAAATGACACAAGATAGAGCTCGTTACAAATAAAATGGAAACGGAAAACTAATGTGATATAGAATTAGGTGGGGTCACTAAACTGGGCGACAAAATACTTTGGTTAAACCACAGCAAGATTGTGTCAGATCGATTAGCCTGTTCAACTCAAGGTTCGTAAACTGATCCAGGGGCGGAGCCAGGATATGACCGTGGGGGGGGCGGGGTGAAATAAAAAAGGATAGGATTTAAAATATAAATAAAATATACGTTGTACATTAAATGATGTATTGTATTCATCTAGAGTATTCAAAAGTACATGATTAAACGCCGTGTGAGATAAAATTTAGAACGTTACATCTCTCTTGCATATAATGAAATCATCGATAAAAAATCCACGATAGACATTTTGACGATTTTGTGGTATGAGGTAATAATTAATAAATACTAGCAAATATCTAAAAAAAAGGTAAACAACTTAACTAAGTATATCGGACCGGACTTGCTAGTCAATAATGAATTAGTAATATACTTGGGAAACTATTTTCAATTTTAAATAATTGCTAAAATGCAAAAAATGTAATTCTTTACCTCTATTCTAATAGGTTTTGTGGATGCATCTAGTGTTCATGGTGCACTGGGGATTTTTTTTTAATTAACATACTTTATATTTAGGCTTTAAATTTGCTTCCATATTAAAGTGGGGCTTTAGGGCTAACTAATACTTTACCTCTACTCTAATATAATAGTCCTAGGCTCCTAGCAAATACTACTTGAAAGATTTGAGGGAGGGGGGCAAAGAAATATACATAATAATACTATACTAACTAAAAAAAATAAAGTTGGGGGGGGGGCAATGGCCCCCTTGCTATTATACATACGTCCGTCCCTGAACTGATCAATCTCTTTTTAATATTCTGAAGTGGAACTCTAACATGATATGATGACTGATGCACAATACAAAGACTTACTAACTTCATCTACTGATACATTCATTTACAAAATTAAGGAAAAAATATTTATGAAAGGAACCTTTTCATCCTTCTCAAAATGCTCCAGCTTGGATAGCTTCCCGGTGTTCACTATCTCCAGAATCTGCAACAAGAATATCCGTTCTCTTCATTGCATAGTGAAGGCAGATATATTCCCACAAAATGCCCTAAAACTCAATAATTGACACGCCATTCCAAAAAATATAATTCAATGATAAATAACCATCGACATGCATTAGCGATCATAAATTCTAAATAAAATCACTAAATGGCATAAGATGAAATAAATATAGAGCACCTATCACAATAATATATACTAACACAGGAAATAGCTTTTCACTCACATGATCCTGCATTGACTTTCCAATGCTAGGAAGGTGTTTCACCTGGTCCAGATTCTCAATTTTGGAAGGTAGTTTCTCAATAACCAGGATGGCTTTGTAATAGCTAAATGACCTTCTCTCATCACCAAGTGCTATTAATGAAGATCATGGAACTTTAGATAAGGCTCTAAAAAAGCTCATATCATATTACAACAAAGTTGCACAGGCGCTAGAAAGTTATTAAAAAAGGCACAACGTACCCCTATAAATGTTGATGAGCTTTCCAAATATCTCAGTGACATTCTTGTTTAAGTCAGAAGGTTTATAAAGTAATGATGAATCTGAAAGGAAGTCCTGTTCAATAAATAAAAGATGTAAATATGCAAATCCAAAATAGAAAAAGTCCATAACTAAAAGGATCAAGATAATTAGACCAAGTTTGCAGAGAGAACCTTGGGCATGTTTGTGCGTTAAAAATTACTCCATACATGCTATGGGAAGTTAGTAAGAATTGGAATTCAATAAAGTATCTAAGAGAGAGCAGATTGTGTACAACCTTATTATGATGATTAAGGAAAACTTCACTAGAAACTTCTGGGCCTAAAACATTTGATGCAATATCCGAGTCGCATGAACTGCCACTGTAGTGTTCAGTGACCGTCATGTGATCTAGGCTTGCAACATTTGCACCATCTGAAGAGACTCTGCTCTTCTTAGAGGTCTGCTCATCACAGTAGCTTCTATTTTCTGCAGAAAATTCTGCATATTTCCTCCTCCAGATTCAATAGTTATGACATATAGATCCTCAGGCAATGCTTTTCCCTCTCTCAAACTGCTCTCTATCCACTGATATTGTAGTACTTTCTGAATATCACGTCATAATAGGAAAAAGAAAATAAGACAAATAAGTTGACTTTGATGCCATGATAAATTTAGGATTGGATTAGGGTTAACAGAAATTTAAAAGAAAATCACACCAGGGGTTCATACTGAATTGTACTGCCACACATCAATGGGCAGTATACCATTTAAATTTGAGCTGCGAGATGAGGAGGTTAATATGCATGTGGTTATTTTTACTAATCTTAGAAAGCTATAAACTGAATCCTTTGACATAGCATTCATGCTGACTAAGTAGATGAGAACCACAGATTACAAACTTTATTAAAGTTATTAGACGACACACCAAAGACCAAAATCAATAAATTATTACATCAAATGACAAAACAAGTAGTAGGAAAAGGAAATCTATTGCAAACTCACAAAGTTGCAACAGTTGGCCTTTTGTAACTCAAGAAGAGGAAACCAAAAAAAAGTGAGACAAGATAGTCGGGCTTGAGTAACAAGTTGCACACTGAACTCCAAAAACACTAGGAAGAAGAAGAGAACAAAAAAATACTCATTAACCAAAACACTAAATGATAAATACCCACTAATAACAACTACTGAGTATATAATACTAGGTCCCTCCCCCAAAAAAGTCTTATTTGATCAACATACATCCTTTTAATTTTTGCTGTGGTACAAGTGTCGTATATAATCATACTAATATTTACTTGATTTTTTTTGTTGGCTCAACTAAAGTTATTATACATAACTTTTTGTTACTTTTAATTTCTTCGCTAAGAATAATAATAAAATCTTTTTTTTTGGGACACCGGAAAGGATAAAAACAAGATCTTGGTTGTATGAAATTGCACAGTATTTGGCTGATTCATGATCTTCCTAAAAAGCTAACAGCTTGTCACCAGTGGAGAACAGAAAAAGGGTTGCTTTTCATATTTGCATGATCTACCGCTCAATAGAAGCTCATGAAGATGACGGTATCACAATTCAAATTTTGGTTTCAAAACACTGAAGACACACACAAGTCACGAAAAGAATGAGAACTTAAATGGATGCAGCCGCGGAAGAAGTGCACAACTATAGTAGAATAATTTCCAAAGAGAAGTATGGGAGGGCGAAGCTCACAGTTTTGGAACGAATTAACCGCTCCCGATCAACTTCTTTGAGTAGTAAATCCGAGTCCACGGCGAAAACATGTGTGACCTTTCTGGAGAAATGGTCTTCAATACTTGCTCCCATCTGCATCAATTTCTGCTTCCATATCTGAATTGAATGGACTTGACGAAATTATGTTCGCAAAAGTTTGGAACTTTGGAGGAAATTTGCTGATGACAAAACGGAAGACCTGTAGTCGACGAGTTTGAACACCGCCTCCTACTAGCAAGACGACCATGCCGGTGAACATTCCATGAGGGTCCGGAGATGGAGATGGAGATGGAGATGCCTTCTTCTTTGGCGCCATTTCCTGCTTCTTTAGTAACGGTTTCTGGAATGACCACGGCCGGCTGCTAACTAACTATACACTTTGATTTTTAAAGAATTACTCAGCTTCCTTATACCCTCTCAAACCCTTCTCAAAACAATTAAAATGTCTTTTTTCCATTAGCTTCTCAAACTTTGTCGAGAACTTGTGGTTGGATGATGACATTGCCAAAGAAATACGATAGTATAGTATAATATGGAGTAAAGGGTCAATTAAGTACACCACGATCCACAGGAAAAAGTACACTATATTGCATTTGATCTTTTTAAGTATACAAATTCAGGATTTTAATGTTAATTGAGTACACTTGTTAGATTAACACGTTAATATAGCCGAGTTAGCTAACGGAATGCTAAGTAAGGAGTAATGGACCAAGGTTATGGCGCCGACCTTCACGAAGTCGATCAAAAAGAGAAAATCGACATTCAGAGGTCGACCTGTGCGGGGCGTCGGCCACTCGGCTAGCAAGAGTGCATCAACGAAGGGGAAGTCACTTGCGGGGGCTGAAGTCGATCAAGGGGAAGTCGATCAAGTGGTTGGAGCTGGTGTGGACCTTCAAGAAGTCGACCTATTAGCATTCTGTTAGTCAACTCAGTCGTATTAACGTGTAAATCTAACGAGTGTACTCAATTAACACTAAAAACCCGAATTTGTGTGCTTAGAAAGTTCGAATGCAATATAATGTACTCTTTACTCCACTTCATACAAGTTGATGTACTCGATTCACCCTTACCTCGTATAATATGTGGCAAGGTAAACAAAAGACCTTCTCAATTTTCTATGAATGTGTCTATTATTAGGTCAGTTAACGAGTTGGATACGGGCCGAGACTATGTATTCCCGATCTATATCTGTCGAGTACTTTTTTGTTTTCGAACGCATTTATCCTTCGGGTTCTATGAAGGTAATTCTGATATCAGTTAGCAATATCTGGTTAGGTTAGTTGTTTTGACGGCCGATAATGTTAGCATTTAGAAGAATTGATTAGTAAAATTAGTTACGTTGTTTAAAAATAACGGCTAGAGTGTAAAAAGAAGTGTAAAAACATTAGTATGGATTCATAATTTTAGTATTGTTTTAACCACATAATGTCACCTACAAATCTATAATTACTTTCTACAAATCATTCATTACTTTAAAAATTATAAAAAATGATAAATAACATTACACCACAAACTCCACCACAAATCATTGTTGTATATCAATCAATTATAGAGTTATATAGATTAGTTGTTTGCATTCCCATCAAGTCGTCACCTAGAGTATTGCTGTATCGACAGTAGAGCTTTTCATTAGAGTTTGGGAAAATGCACAATTGAAGAAAAGTTAAAAATTGGGTTTCAATAAAAAAAATATACAAATAAAATTAAGGAAAAATTGATAAGAATAATCTCACCTTTCACTGGTCTTCTCATAATAATCGTACCTTTACGTAATCTCAGAATAATCTCACCTTTGCACATCATCTTCTTTCATTAGACCCTTTCTATGAAAATTTTATATAAATAATCCCACCTTTGTTGATATCAATAGATCAAGGTCTAATGAAAGAAGATGAGGTGCAAAGCTGAGATTATTATTGGATTACGTAAAGGTGAGATTATTATGAGAAGACCAGTGAAAAGTGAGATTATTTTTGTCAATTTTCCCTAAAAATTAATAAACATATACGATTAATGAATTTGAAGGTGCAGCAAATCCACAACAACCTAAATAACAACATTAATGACAGAAGATTGAAAAGATAAGCATGTGAGGAGGGCATGAAAGGCTAAAATAGAAACCTACAAAAATAGAAACGCTAGATCTTTTTAGTTTTTGATTGGTTGAGTCTAAACAACTAAATCAACTAGCCACTTACCAAATAATAAATTCAATTGTTTACATAATCAAACCCATTAATGGTAGTGAAACAATCTAAAATGATTGATTGGTCATTATTAAAACAATGCCTATATGTCAATTTCCTTCTTGATCTTTACAATTATTAATGATTTGTGAGAGTTTCTTTGAAATAATGATAAATATATGAATTAAGTAAACGCAACGAACAAAAAACATGTTTTTCTTTAAATAATTATAATAATCTAAAAACTTTATATTTGTGAGTAAAGGTTTGAACCCTTTATCTGTGTCAACCTACTGTAAGCATAATGAATTGTACATTATTTTTAAAAAGTTGGACTTTACTTTTCACATGGACTTTTGTACCCTCACACAGAGTCAAACCCCTCTTCCGTTAAATGAAAGAACTTGAGACCACGTTCCTTCAAGCCGAAGGCACCGAAAAACATAGAGCACTATCTTTCTCTATACACAAACGAGAGAAAAAATTGTCCATTTTCTCGCCCAAATGTTTGTCCAACCCACGGGCCGGGACAGGTCTTTACCATATGGCTGGTTCCGATTGTTCTTCAGCGCACATGAGATAGCATTTAACGGAGGAAACGGGGCTCAATAAACAAGGCCTATCAGTGCAAATTTCGTGGCTCAATGTTGTACTGTTGTACTACCGATTAAATATTTACGGAGTAAATGATAGCATGAATATTGCACTTCAATTTTTATTTCAAATTAAAGTGAACATTAAATGTAATGTACACTACTGATTTGATGTGGCCAAAAGAACTTTTTTATGTTGGAATGGGTCAATGGGGACGACCAATTAGTACAATTTGAGTTTTGTTAATTTAGAAAACACAAATTGAAAATTGCAAATAAATTGTTAAATTTATTTTGAGAGTCCCGCTTCGTGTACACGCCGGATTACACGCCAGTCAAATTGTTTGTGTACAGATTATTTGATTGGTGTTTTACGAAGAAAATCATTTTCCACACATACGTAGTATATTTTAGACGAGATTTTTTCATAAAATATTTGTGATATAGACAATTTTAAATGAGAATTTTAAATGAGAATTTTAAAATGTTTGATATAGACAATTTTTTTTATTTTTATTTGTGTGAAAGTCAGTTTTCTTTATAAAACGCCGATCAAATTGTCTGGATACAAACAATTTGATCGGCATGTAACCCGGTATGTACAAAGGAAACTTTCCTTATTCTGATCAGAGCCCTACATATTGTCCTCTCAAACGTCTATCAATTGGTACTGAAAACATTACATGCAATTATTCATCGGTTAAATTGTTGTAAAAGAACCCCAATTATTGTAGTATAAATAACTATGTCATAGTTTGAGCAGCTCACCACCCCCACTTCATCTCAAAAACAATTTCACAATGGAAACTATAAGAGAAGAGTGATAGTATAATCTCTTATCAAATATGTGGATCTCAAAACAACTCTACAATGAGACGAACATACGAGCCCCAAGCCAAATCTACTCAACAAAGATGATGCGCGGCCAGAGCACAAAAAATTCAATCCAACACAACAGTGGTATAAAATTCAAAAACAAAAATGGCACGTGGTCTCTCGCACATCAACTACATGGGAATTGAGGGTGAGGATTGAAAGAGTCGTTGAGGTGTAAACACTAGAGTTGCTCTTCCTTCATCAACATGCTTGAAAAATGCAGGTACACACTTCAATTTTCTAATTTAAAAAAACACACATTGTTTAGAAATCGACTGCCATGATTCATTGGTCATTTATTTCTTAAATATAGGTATTTAAATAAAACAATTACAACTATTCCGTAATTAAATGGGTTTAAAAATTCATGTTTCTATTAATGTAAATAATCTTAGTTGTAAGTTGGCCGAGCCTAATATGTTACGATTCGCAAAGGCGCCAACCAATTCTTTAAAAACTCTTAAAAGGACACTATGTAAATTACTAAGAAATCATAAAAAGTGAATGCATGAAGTATGAAATTACTTGAAAGGGTAATAAAACTAGGCAGTACTGGGCTCATTTTATATTGACCTTACATTAATATCGATGTGCTACCAAATGTATGAAGCACAGAAAGAGCAGTTCAACCAGATGACTAAAGATCAAGAACCTTTGATGGGATGTATCTTCTCTATGCAAAGTATCATCCGTATTGAAGTTTCAGGGGCTGGCTGCTGAATATGTGTGTCTGTGATATGTGCTATGTATAGTTATTTCTGTCATGCATAAACATACATATATACATATATTTTAGTATACACAACATACAACTGAAATTTTACATATTAAATCATAGCAGTTTACTTTATATGGTTTGTTAGAGCATGGCAGCAACACATGTGACTTGGAACAAATTTGGACTTCATCAAACATTTGAAAATACGTTGAGAACAAATTTGGACTTCATCATACATTTTAAAACAAGTTGTAGTCTTTAAACATTCAGCAGGCATTTAAGCATACAGAAATATGGTATTCAACAAAATTTAGGATTGAATACATTTGGGCTATAAAAGTAATTCTTATTTTGTTTTGTTCTTTAAAACACATATTTAAATTAACAAATCTTATTTTAGTTTATCAAACGACTGATATGGAGTGTTTAAAAATAGTACTATTTGTTGTAGGGAGAATTGTGTGTCGAGTTTCATTGCCGAATGCCCCTATAAATAGGGACAAAGAAGGGCTTACAAGTATTGGCCAATAGGCCCATAATACATAATTTACATAGAAATACCCTAATACATATTCTGTCTAAACGATAGCACACTACATAGAGTTTCATTCAACATCCCCTTTGTGTTGAGTTATAGATAGAATGTTGTATGTGTCTTGTTGCCTCTTCAAAATTCTGTCAAGTAACAAAAACCCTATGGGAAAAAATAACCTTGACTGGAGAAAAAGATTATAACATCAAGATAGACTTCTTCCATTAAGTCCATCTTTATTTGATCATTTCTTTGATCATTAAAGTTTATATGTGTTGTTACCTCATTAAAAATCTTACCAAGTAACAAAACCCGGTGGGAAAAATAAAACTCGGTTAAAGCAAAAGAGCGTAACGTAGTGTATGTGGGGAGACTCTCCCTCATGTCTACATCTATCCTTAATATTTACATTAATCAAGGATATTTGGAAATTTTAGGCATTCCAATACTTTTTACATTAATCACCATATCGAAGGCACACAAATAGAGGAATATATTTCCTTTAATTCTCCCCCTGTGTGCCAAGTATAAGGTGATAACAGTAAATTTTTTTAACTTGCTAAAACCTTGTCAAT